GGCGTATAAGAGCTACCTCATTAGACTGATGCAAAATTTGAAATTTTCGCTCCACAGTGTTCAAACAGTTTCAAATCGGGTCCTGATTAGCCTCCAAAAGTTTAAACTCATTTAGTCATTTGATAAGAAACTGACTTGGCACAAAACATTTGAAGTTTATATGGAAATTACTATGGGAAAACAAAACTTTTTGTTCATTGTCTTCTAGCCTTTTACATATTGTTCTGTTAACAAATTCTATTGCTATTCTTATGGGAATTTTTATCAGCTACAACTTTGCCGAATATTGTTTTTCAGTCAAACATCAAATTAAATAGTTATTAATTGTTTAAGAGATTGATAATCTTATGGCATGATCAAGCAACTGTTTTGTGGGCAACACTGTATTCTGCAGTGTGACATAGTAGCCATGATTTTTGTCCTCTATTCTACGCGCCATAAACACCAATGTTGCCTGCTGAACAGTTGATTGAGCATAATCATAAGACATTAGTGACTTGAATCATTTATAACTTTTGTTCCTTAAATTTGATCGAAAAGTGATTTTGAACAAAGTTGTAGCTGAGAAAATTTTCAACAAGCTTAGCTATCATTTTCTAGAGTAGAATGAACTGGTGAATTTTGAGATCGATGTGAACCGAAATTATGGTTTCTCTATAGTAATTCCCATATGAACTTCAAATGGTTTGTGCCAAGTCAGTTTCTCACTAAATGAGTTCAAATTTTGGGAGGCTAATCAGGGCCCAATTTGGAACCGTTTGAGCACTATGGAGCAAAAATTTCAAATTTTGCATCAGTCTACTACCTCATGTTAGACGAAAATCATTCATAAGTCACTTATTTGAAATTTAAATTCAAGATAGTTCGCCACCTAAACACAAATCCTGAGTATGATTCTGGTACGACATACGAAATATTAAAAATGAGATCTAAAGGGTGTCCACGATGAAATTGCCACACACAAAATTGATTCGCAAAATTCGAGTTTTCATCCGATTGCCATCAAATTTTCAGGGATTGAGAAATAACTATTAAACTTCATTTTACCATTTTACTCGTATTTTATTTACAGTCCATACGCAAATGCCCACACCTTGGCCTTAACCCCGGCCATAAGATTCTGCACAACCTGTGAATCAACCGTTTTTTGCATGTAAACCCATACTTTCTTCAGTTCCTCGACTGTCTTCACTACCTTAGGTCGTTTAAGAAGGTGCTGCTTCATAATCGCCCAGTACTTCTCGATAGGGCGGAGCTCCGGAGTGTTGGGAGGGTTGAACATTTTCGGCACGAAATTGACCTTATTGTCCGCATACCACTTCAGCACGTCCTTGGAGTAGTGGCATGAGGCCAAATCCGGCCAGAAGATTGTTGGGACGTTGTGGGCCTTCAGGAGAGGAAGCAGCCGCTTCTGGAGGCACTCTTTTATGTACACCTGTCCGTTCATCGTGTCCTGGGTCACGAAAGGTGCACTCCGCTTCCCGCACGTGCAGATGGCTTGCCAAACCAGGAATTTCTTCGCAAATTTGGACATCTTCTGAGTGCGGACATGCTCCGGAACGCTGAACTTATCCTTGGCCGTGAAAAACAGGTTGCCGGGGATCTGTTTGAAGTCGGCCTTCACATATGTTTCGTCGTCCATGATGCAGCATTCAACTTTCGTCAGCATGTTGAGGTACAACTTCCTGGCACGGGTTTTGGCGGACTTGTTCTGCTTCTCGTCGCGATTAGGGGCCTTTTGTACCTTGAACGTTCGAAGCCCAGCCTTAGTTTTGGCCTTCTGGACAAAACTTCAGCTTAGGTGCAGCTTCTTAGCCACATCCCTAACGGAGGCGTTCGGATTTCGGTTGAAGGCCCCAACTACGCGGTTGTGATTTTTGGTGTTGTACGGAATACTTTTTCCTTCACTTCTGGGCTTCCGATCGGTGGTCAACCGTTCCTCGAACCGCTTAACCACTCGCGACACCGTGGAATTCGCGATTCCCAACGTTTTAGCGATGCGAGAGATCCTTGTTCTCGTGATGAATGCGCAAGATTTTATCACACACGAGCTGTTCTTTCGACTCCATTTCCGCGAGTTTTGATCACAGGACTTTAAAACTTGCAGGATGTAAATAATGCACTATGAACTAAATCCACCCAAATTTTCATTAAATTCTACCCAACGGTTAAAAAGTTAGAGCAATTTCATAGTGTGGCAATTTCATCGTGGACACCCTTTAAACATATTAGCAATGTCTCAGAGCTTCATAAATTTGATAAGTCCAAGATCTTGACATTTTTTTTTCTAAATGATTCCAGGGAGAGTCCTACAACAAATCTAAAGTGGACCCTACTCGACTGTTTGTATTGATAATAATCGTATTGTCAATACATTATATATTGACGTCAATGCATCGGTATTGACAATATTTCTGTATTCACACCATCAATATTATAATATATTATTATCAATACTTGTAAGTATTGACAATATTTCTTACCGTGTGGGGTTCGCTTAAACTTGTTTTATGTTTGCTTTAAAACGCAGGCCAGACTGGAGAGTTATAACATGTTATAACGGTTGTCAAATAATTGCAACACAGAAACCGCCATCAAGATAGCGCTATAACATGTTATAACCATAGAGGTAACTCTAAGACCAGAAGGTCCCGAAGAAACGAGCTCAACTTTTTAGCTCAGCTCTGGTACTATCTTCGGTCCCAAGCTAATCGATTCACCCCTCAAAACTTAGGAAAATCCAATAACCCCTAATTTTATCTGTCAAACTTTCATAGCGAATCAAAACAAAAATAGTGTAGTACTGGAATTTATACTAGAATGAGGTACGTTAGTCGATTTGCTTGGGACCAATAGGCTAGTCAAGTAGTGAGCCAATTTGAAATCGTTAGTTTCGTATTAATTGTTGTTATAACTCTGTAGTCTGAACGTACTATAAGATCTCAAAAGTTTTTCGATGGCCGATGGCCGGGAGTTTGAAAGCTATTCATGCCACAAACTCTATGGAGAATTTCTCCTCAGAATTTCTTAAAGTTAAGTTCAGATTTTTCTTGAAATTCTTATCAGAATTATATAGGAGAAAAGTTCTCTTTGGCAATACCTTAACCTATTATCAACAACGTCCTTGAGCGCTCAATTTTGGCATGTGGATACATTGTGTTTCAGAGCAACTATTGGCCAAATTTGTGTGCTCTAGGACTAGGACCCCCCTGACGATAATAGGTTAAGGTATTGCCGAAGCCAACTTTTCCCCTAGTAATTATCCTTGTCGTTGTATTTCACCCCATTTTTTCCCAAAGTTTTGTCCCAAAATTACATCAGAATTCCCTTTAAATTCTTCTCAAAATACCATTGTAAGAATCTCTTGGAATTCTCTTCGGAATTCTTGTGAAACTCTGTTGGAACTCAATTCCTACTCTTGCTGGAAACCTGCTCAGAATTCTTTGGAAATACATATGTTTTAAAATTTTATTGTATTATTCTCATTGGATTGCTCCAGTAACTTCCTTGTAAACCCCTCAAATTTATAATGAACCCTTCTAGGAAGCTAGCTAGCTAGCTCTAGTTCTAGTTCAAGCTTGAAACACAGCAATGAACTTTTGTAGCTATTGTCAGAATTAGATTTCCTTGGAATTATATTATCGATATTGCCATGGAGCTCTCCATAGAATTACCTTAGATTAATTGATTGACATATAAGAAATTTTCAGACGCATGCTGGTTCGTTTCTGGAAAAGAATTAGAAGGTATCAAAACAACATTGTTAAAGTGTTACGTATAGAATTATGATCATCTAACTTGATCATCAGAAAAATGTCAGGGTTGTAGTAACGATACCATCATTAAGTTTGTCAAAAGGATAATTCTCGATAACTTTTTCAAAGGGACGTATCAGCTTTTGTAAACAATGCTTTTGATCGTCGATTTGGCGTAACTGGTAGCTCGCCCACGCATGCTAACACTACCATCAGATAGGGGAAATTTTCCCCTACTAGCTAGTGGTGTTAGTAAGCGTGTGCGAGCTACCAGTTACGCCCAATCGACGAACAAATGCATTGTTTACAAAAGCTGATCCATCTCTTTGAAAAAGTTACGGAGAATTATCTTTGAATTCCCCGCCGAATTCCCTTATAGAATGCTCCCTGAAATTCCATCAAATTTTCCCCAAAATATTCCTCTCAATTCCCAATTCGTCTCAAAATTCCTTTTTTTTTCCTCTTCAATTCTTCTTATAGATCATTTGACATTTTCTTAAAAAATCTGTACAAAATTCTTCAAAGTGTCAGAATCCTAAAACTTTGTCCAAGACATACTTTTTTCTAAATCGGAGATTTGGAAACTTATTATTTTTCAGTGGCTGAAATCTCGAAAAGTTCACAATTTGAAAAACTGGTCTAGTCTAAAAATCTCAATAAATTTCTCATGTTGGTAATTTTTCAAAAAACTTCTCAAACCAAAATCCCAATATTATTTCGTGGCCATCATTATTTTTAAAATGAATTTTCAAGTGCAATATATCACTTTATAACATTCGGTCCAAGGATCCCCTCATCCCCAGTAGCAATCGGCTAAGTGCTCTTAGAAAAAAAAAATTACAAGTAAATAAGAGAAATTTAAAAATTCCCCAAATTCGAGTGGCAACCCTGTATACCGTAATTTACCGAAGTCCAGACACTTATGCCTTGTTCAGACTCCAGAGATTTGGGAAACTAATACCCTTGTATCATGTTATAACATGTTGAAAAACGCCATCAAGATAGCCTTGTAATGTGTTATAACTCCGTGGTCAATAAATCCGGACACTTTTTAAAGTTGATTATCAATTTACATGCTCGAAATAGCACGTAAATTATAAAATTCAGAATCATCACACATGCTATTAAAAATAAACATAAATAAATAAATTCGGAGCAGTACGGTACCTTTCTACTGTCTATCCTGAAAACCAACCTACAGATAATTAAATCCATCTCCATCCTCTTTTTCTTAACTCCTTCCAGCGGAACGGGACTACATCGGTTTCGCAACCCTCGCCGAGCAGGTGCACCGGAAATCGGTCAAGCGCGGCTTCGAGTTCACGCTGATGGTTTGCGGTGAAAGTGGTCTCGGCAAATCGACTCTGGTCAACAGTCTCTTCCTGACGGATCTCTACCAGAACCGGACGGTTCCGCAGATCGAAGAGCGGCCGGAGAAGACGACCAAGATCGACAAGAAAACGTTGGATATCGAGGAGAAGGGTGTGAAGCTGCGGTTGACCATCGTCGATACACCCGGCTTTGGGGATTCGATCAACTGCGAGGAGAGTTGGCGCGTCTGTACCCAGTACATTGACGAACAGTTCCGGCAGTACTTCACCGACGAGAGCGGCCTCAATCGGCGGAACATTCAGGATAATCGTGTTCATTGTTTGCTCTACTTTGTGCCACCGTGGGGACATGGGTAAGTTCAGGGACGGCTCGGTAAGTGATCAGAGCTAGAAGATGTTGAAATCGTTTTTCCAGTCTCCGACAGATGGACATCGACTTGATGCGGCGGATGCACAAGAAGGTCAACATCGTGATAGTGATCGGCAAAGCGGATACGCTAACGACGACCGAAGTGCAGAAGCTCAAGACCCGGGTCCTAGAGGACATCGAATCAAACGGTATTCAGACATACCAGTTTCCCGACTGTGATTCCGACGAAGACGAGGACTTCAAACAGCAGGATCGTGAACTGAAGGCAAGCATTCCATTCGCGGTGGTCGGGAGCAACATTGTGCTTGAAGTCGCTGGCAAAAAGATCCGAGGGCGGCAGTATCCTTGGGGTGTTGTGGACGGTAAGACTTCGGTGCCGGTGATAGTTTTCAGTAACAGTGTAAACTCAATGTCTTCCATTACAGCGGAGAATCCACAGCACAGTGACCTCATCAAACTGCGGACGATGCTCATTTCGACGCATATGCAGGATCTGAAGGACACCACCCGGGATGTGCATTACGAGAACTTCCGTGCCCAGTGCATTTCGCAGATTTCGCAGCACGCTCTGCGGGAGCGCAACAAACTGAAACGGGAATCTATCGCTTCCAGTCATGAATCCAGTAGCTTTAACGAGACCGATCGGTTGCTGCAACAGAAGGAGGAAGAGGTGAGTACCTAGTGATATATTATTGAATGGAATAGAAATTGTAACATGATGATCCCATTTTTACAGATCCGAAGAATGCAGGACATGCTAGCGCAGATGCAGGAGAAGCTAAAATCTACTCAAATAAGCGACACCGTAATCGACGTTTAGAAGAGCAACACATTCAAGCAGCATTGAAACACGCGCAATTTTTAGGTGGAATTTTTCGTTATACATTAAGGCCTCTCCCTCATCGAACGCTCATACATGATCAAACGAAACCAGTGTCGAACATCGTAACTCATTCCCTGACATTCATCTCATCACCCGCAAACATACCACTTAATCGATGTCTAATGTAATTGTAGCGAAAATGTACTCAATCTCCACTAAATGATAAACAGGACTCCTATACCTATTATACTAGTAATAATAATCGAGAACATGACCAAAGAACACAATCAACCTTGAACAATAGACGACAGTTAACTCTCAAACTCGGATACGAACGAACCACCAAAACGTACAGACGGAAGAAAAATCGTGCAATAAGAAGGTTTAAGACAAGACGCAGGAGCGTGGAGCAGTCAAACTTGAGAGTCGACGATTATTCGGCGAAAAAAAAAGAATTGTTTCAAACAATCGGTTCAAATTGTTACTTCTTTTGTAGAGCATCCGCTATATTTTATACTTATATAGGAAATATTCGAGAGTGCAAGCAGAGAGGGACAAACGAATCAACAACCAGTGGAATTCTAGAAGCTATATTTATACTTGTTTGCTCTTACAAATGTTTATTTCTACAAAACTAAAATCTAGGTTTAATCATTCAGAACGATATTTATTTTTGTAAAGGGTGAAATCAGTTCGCACTAGCTTATGATCTATTTATTTAATCGCAGCAATCCAGTCTCCGGAACTCACTTGATAAAAACAAAACAAAAATCGAGGTTAACCTTATTATTATTGAGATGTAGCGTAGCATTTCGATACCTTTCCTAAAGTTCGAAATCTCATCTCGGGGTCATAGGAAAAAGCAAAAAAAAAACGACAAATTACAGTGCAACCACCATAAGTATTGCTAGAATGTCTATAGATATTTCAATAAAGTTTAATTTTAAAATTGGAACGTGAGTGCGTTTGATGAGCACGGCGGTTGATACCTTAATAATGATATATATCACTCACCCAGTACCGTACTCAGCAGGTGGTGGCCACTCAGAAATTCCTTAGAGGGGGGATAAAAAGTTCAAATGTTCATTGAACATCTACAAAGTTCCTTTATCTTTGCTTCTTGAAAATTTTCTCAACTCGAAGTTACAGCTTCATCCAAGTTCCATAATTGTTTTAAGTTCTCTCAATTTGACCAAGACTCAGAACATCTATCACCTTTTTCAATCTTCAGGAAAAAGCATCTGTTCCCAAATCAAACTCTGAAGTTCAAAGAAGCATGCTAAACTTTAATAATACTCTCTGAGCTTCTACGAAATTTCCGTAACTTCTACGAGTTAATAATTATTATTGGTACTTACGAAGTAGTAAGGGGCTGTTCATTAACTACGTATACAGTTTTTTTTAGGATTCTTGACCCCCCTCCCCTTGCGTAGACAATTGTCCATACGAAAAAATAAATTTGTATGGGCCGTGGATGATTGCCAATACCCCCCCCCCCCTAAGCTGTCTACGTAGTTTATGAACAGCCCCAAATGGCAGCGGGAATAAAATAGACTGGCTCGAAATTTACAATTTATTCGTGGTCAGTCACAGTAACGTGGGTAGATCACCTTTTCGTGGTACGTTACGGGATGTAAGATCTACCACCGATTCCTAGTCTTGTCTACTTCAGACTAGGGGAACAGGATTTTTCAGTAATCAAAGGAACACATCTTAATCCTTGTTACTTTTTATGCCTTGTTGATAGTGACAAGTCCCCGGGTTGCCTTGACCGAGGATGATCTTGAAACAAGGAAAAAATGAGTTAGTCTTCACCTATGTGATTCCAAATCTACTATTCATTGTTCCCTAGTTTGAAGTGGTTAAGACTAGGGTTCTGATGCATGGTCATTATCGGTGTCATTGCTTGTTTTTGTTGCTAAGAGATCCAATTTTGATTGACAAAGGAGCGCGCCTTTGGAGGGTGTTCCAACACTCCGAAGGGTATAAATAGCGGGACCTTTCAATTAGAGTCGGATCCTTGCGATAAATGCGAGAATGACAACTGTAAAAAAATCGAATGCTTCATCATTTCTCAATAGTGATGGAGTAATACGACATGCACTAAACTAAGGACACGGGATATACTACAATAGATCAAATTACTGGTCGCAGTGGTTTTATGTCCCGAACAGAGGAAAAAAAAAGGGGACCAGGTGGTAAAAAACTCTATCCACCGACAAACCGACATAAATGACCATAGTTAAAACAAGAAAATTAATGACCAAAGCACACTACCCGCATAAACGCGAACCATCACATGAACTTACCGATAATGGTTATAAATTGTTTATAATCCCTGCTAAACTTCAACTGAAATGGTTATGGAACTTTACATGAACGTGTGTGTGATAAAGTTTTAACCTTATGTATTATGGTTTTTTGGAAGCGGACCTTACAAATAATGGGTTGTTAAGAACCATTACCATTCCAAATTCTTGTTTTCTCCATACATTTTCGGAAAGAAAACTATACTAAAACCTTTTAACTTATGGTTTGAGAACATTAATGGTAATGGTTATGGTAACCAGTAAGGTCCATGAATGGTTTTGTAACATCGATCAACTTTATGTGGAATATATCGCGAATTGGTTGCCTGTAAATTACTGATTACCAATTCACGATATATTTCTCGTAAAGTTGAGCGATAATACAAAACCATTAATGGACCTTCCCTAATAAAATTGTTATGGTTATTTTGCTTAACGACGTGTTCTGGGTATCTTCCAAACCATTAGTTGAAAAGTTCAATTATTTGGGTTATCGTTCGTTTATGGTTATTTTTTATTAGGGTTACTGACTACCATAACCATAACCATTAATGTTCTCAAACCATAAGTAAAAACGTTCTAATATAGTTCTATTTCCGAAAATGTATGGAGAAAACAAGAATTTGGAATGGTAATGGTTCTTAACAACCCATTATTTGTAAGGTCCGCTTCCAAAAAACCATAATACATAAGGTTAAAACTTTATCACACACACGTTCATGTAAAGTTCCATAACCATTTCAGTTGAAGTTTAGCAGGGATTATAAACAATTTATAACCATTATCGGTAAGGTCATGTGATGGTTCGTGTTTATGCGGGTACTGACATCCCTAATAAAAATTGTATGGTTAATTTGCTTAACAACGTGTTCTGGGTATCATCCAAACCATTTGTGGAATAGTTCAATGATTTGGGTTATCGTTCGTTTATGGTTATTTTTTATTAGGGATCTGGCTCCGTGTTTGCGGGAAATATTTAGCTAAGCCATGAACCCGCATGCAAAAGTTATGAATTGGCGAGGGGGACGACTCTATCTACGATGCAAAAAAGATTGAGTTTTGCTGTGGCTAGCTGCGCGCACGCTGAGTAGATAGACAGAAGATTAATGACGATTCTGAAGATTTCCTGCAAAAAATTGATGAGCGATGCAAGTAGATGCGACAAATGAAAGAAGATTGTTCGAAGATTGATTCGCTAGTGTGAGATTTGTTGACCATCTAAACTTGAGATTTAGATGTGTCGCCCCCCTCGTGAATTGGTACGTGTCTGATCTATTCTATTGGCAGTTCGTATCACTGCACATTTAAATCGGCCGTTTACGATTTTCGGGCATAAGTCAAAATTAAGTGTCATGTCGGTTTGTCGGTGCTCTATCTACGATGCAGAAAAAAATTCGTTTTTCTGTTGTGAGATGCTTGCACACTTAGTAGATAAAAAGAAGATTGATGAAGATTTTGAAGATTTCCTGCAAAAAGTTGGAGAGCGATGCAAGTAGATGGATATAGATGCAAGATATGAAAAAAGATTTTTCGTAGATTGATTTGCTAACGTGAGATATTCCGACCATCTAAAATTGAGATTGAGATATGTCGCACCCCCTGTGTACAGTAATTATTTTTTACTGAATTTTTGTGAAATCTAAAAAAAGTGTAAAGTATTGACTTTTATGGTAAATATATAAAAATATATATTTCTATTATTTTTTATAAGCGAGATTGTTAGTAGAAATACTCAGAGGGAGAGATGGGCAGAGAAAAAAAATACAATTTGGCAGCAGGGATTTGTACCTAAATTATCTTGCAACCATTGCTAGAAGCTAGCATTTCACATGACTTTTACTTTTGATTCGATTTACGTGCAAAATAATAATTGATTGCATCGCAATATTTTGCACATATCTTGGTGCCATTAATTAACCAATTAGGATCAATCAATCAATAGAGTTAGAATATTGTTTTTGATTCCAAGAACTAGTTGAATTTGATAAGCACACGAAATATAAAGGTGATTGAATTTCTGTTCGATTCAAAGGGAAGACATTATAATATTTATTTCATATGTATATTTAAAAGATTAGACGGGTTTAAAAAATTTTGCGATATTTCGCTATATATTTCCCCGCTGTCAAGAGACTGATGAGTTTTTAATTTGGTGTTTGTTTCTTGTCATCGCAGAAGAAAATGGTGGCCGAATGCTAGGCCGAATGTTGATAATATTATCACAGACAAACAGACATAATTCTTAGAAGAAAATTCTTCAAAAATATCGTCAAGCGTATTTTGCATGCGCACTAGCACCATCTATCATCCACATTCCCAAGCAATGTTTTGCAACCGGAGCATCCCTCGTGCATGTAATGTTTTCACTAGTTGCTTTTCCCTAGTTCTGTCAACGCGTCAGCTGTGTTGAATAAAAACAAAACAGATGGAAGTCAGTGATGTCGGTTCTACGAAATTTTCCGAAGATCTTAGAATTGATTGAATTCTGCAGAAATACGGATGCGTAGGAAAAATTCTCAGAAGCAAAGTTTTTTAATTGCTTAGTGGGCTTTTTCTTTTGCTGGAAACAAGTTTTTAAACAAGGAAATGCATCACTTATTAGTGCCTTTCTACCCCGGCTCATCACTTCAATGTGCACATAGAATAAAAAAAAAAATATGTATCAATCCATGGTGAAGTATTGAACATCAATAACTGGTAAAAATTGATAGAATATTACAGTCATCAACATGATTTGTTCTCGAATTCTGTGTACATCGTACAACGTAATATTAGGAACGGAATGACTAATGTGCAGCAGTTTTGATGTAGGTACTATTCAACAACTATTTTTTTTTCTGTATTCGTCAGACGTGGTACGTGTCTCCAGTGGATGCCTTGACCACTTATCATTTTCAAGAGCTGACATCTACCAACTAGACGTGAAAAAGAACTGGCATCACTAGCATCGAAATGTGGTGGCTTGCTCAATGCTTCAGTGGCGCCACCATGACAAATGCAAGCACATTCCCAACTAAAAGATTATTTGCGATGAATGTGATTGTGAGAGTTATGTATGTTTGTATGTGATATTATCTCGGCTCAGTAAATATTTTAAAGGCAGGATTTCTACAAGCGGCTGATCGAAAAACGGCTCCTTGCATTGCTAATTGCAACTGAAACTGAACTGCTAAAATAATCTAAAAAGTGTGATAAAAGTGCACGTTTCCGTCGAATAGTTTTGGTATCTTCGGTGCACTTATTGCTTGCTTAACGTTGCATGTGACTAAAGCATGGTCACATTCGGATACCCGGAACCGGTTTCGGTAATTTCTAAGTGTGGTCCGACGGCTAAAATTTAATGATTTTTCATCCTGAAGTAATTAGACATCATGGCATGGACCAACAGATAGATCTGTCCACTTCCAGATACTCGGAACTGGTTCCAACAGGGATTCAAAGAGGACACTTCAAAATCCTCATGTACTGGTACCGTTCGACGGCTCAAAATGTATGATATTTCTCCAGAAGTAAACTAGACATTATGCCATGGACCAACAGGTGGAACCGGTTGCAGGTATCCAGATATGGCCAGATCAACATGTCGCTCCATGACATGATGTCTATTTACTTCTGAATGAAAAATCATAAATTTTAAGCTGTCGGA